TATAAGGAAATATCACTTAAAAAGAACGACCTTATAGTCCTATCTACAAAGAATCTACGCCTAAAAGAAGGTACTATAAAGAAGCTATCCCCACGATAGATCGGCCTATTCAGAATCCTCGAATATATCGGAAAGTAGGCGTATCGCCTCCTACTCCTAGACTAATACGCTGCGATTTATAATATATTCCCTATCTAGCTCTTATAACTATAGCAGCAAAGAGAAGGGGAACCAGAGAAATTACCTCTACCGGAATTAGCTGATAATAACGAATAGGAGGTTAAAGAAATAAAAGACAACTAGATAATCGAAGGAGGACTACACTACCTTATAAAGTGGATAGGATAGCCCTCGGAATATAACTAATAGGTTCCTAAAGACGCTATAGCGAATACCCCGAAAGTTATTATAAGATATAAGAAATCTCAGAAGAAATAATAACTTTAATTAGAAAAGGGGCCACCGAATATACTAAGTATCGGCGCCGAATAGACAGCGAAACAAAGGGAATCCAGAGACACCTCACTACACTAGGAACTAGAATATAAGAAAAACAAAGTATATACAGAGACTATACCGAATCGGTATCCGAACAGCCCCGTTATAAACTCTAAGAGAAAGGAAAACCCTGTATTAAGGTATCTAACTAGGTATAAACACCCCTAGTAACCCTAGACTCGGTAATAGTAGTCTTATAGCGGGAACGGAGAATTATAACAGCACTGTACTAGGCAGAGACCGACTCCTTATCGTTAATTAGCCGAACCCGAGTCGAGGCCTCTATAGTAAGACAGTCCCACTCACCGACTATAGGATAGAGGTCGCGAGAGATATAAGAAGTACGAGCGTTGATCTATATATCGTAGGATATATACACAGCCTAGAGGAAGGGTAAACCGTTAGTAAACTAATTACGAACTAGGAAGAGTTCGATAAGGACTTACAGCGGGGATATAGGTCCCAGCTAGATTATATAAGTAACGGTGGTTTTTAACGAGGTTATTAAAACTACTAGTGACCTCGCGGATTAAGACCGAAATATAGGTAACTAGCTTATAAGGAAATAGGAAGTAGACCTTATTTCCCTTATTGTCTTCCTTGTTATCTAATACACTATACCGGCCTATATTGTTACGCTAGAACTCCTTAGCCCACTCTAAGATAGATAACAGTTCGAACCTATTCCTAGCTATACTGTTAGACCTTGCCAACTCCCATGGGACTAAGAAAATTTTGGTCCCATATCCTGGTCCCATGGGAGTAAAATCACTCCCATGGGACTAGGCTAAGCCTATTTAGGGAATTATATTACCTAAATAGGCAGTGATAGTCGGGCTTGGCATTAATTTTGACCGCCAAGACTTTCTCATGGGAGTGGGTCCATGGGAGTTGGCAAGGTCTATATACTGTCCGGAACCTAGGGATACGATATTAGGACGAACCGGAATCGGACCCTAATCGAGAATATATAGGGTACTTATAGACTCGTACACTTTTTTCTACCGAGCACAATACTAGTAAGATTTACTGTTAGGGGTATCCGAGAAGTATCGAATTATTAAGGGGGAATCGGTGCTGTTAGGCTACTTAGGCTAATCGCGAGTAGAAATATATAGATAACCTATACACTAAGTCCGCTGTTATAGGACCGGTACAGTAAGTTACTTATATAGGGAAGGACGAACTAGTGGTATACTAAAACGTACAAGAAGAAACTGTAAAGTAATATTAGACCGGTACCGACTCGGTATAAGAACGATAGCCTTACTAGTATAAGAAGAACGCGTTACTATTAACGAAGTAAGATTGTTAATAAAAGTAAGAGATATACGGAAGGAGAAGTGGAAAGTAAAAACTCTTTAATTAAAAATAAAGCTCTACTTATAGAGATACCAAACGGTAAGAGTATACGAAATATAGTAACTACCTAAACCGGAAGTTGTACCTTCCTATCGGGACCTAATATCGAAACTACTATAAATCCTTAACGTATCGATACCGCCTTATCTAACTCCTTTATAACTCCGGTATTAGAAGAGGGAACGTATTTATATACACGTCTAGTATAGTCTAAAGGACTAAGGGCCCTCCGACAATAAATAACGTCCGGATAGTATTATAGTATTCCCGCAATAAATCACTCTTCGAGACTAACTATTGTATATATCCCTTATCCCCTTCCTAGAGACACTAGCTAGACTCTACACAATATCGGTGCTAAGCCGATACAGGAGTACCCTAGGTAGACCGCGTTAAAGGATTAGGATAGGACGCACTCCGCCCCTCTATATACCTACGGTATCGGGATAAAGCTTTCTGCGATTAGTTAGCGAGTCGTCAGCGAATTAGAATCGACTCTATACTACTTACCCGACTAATATCCCTCTTCGCTGTAGCCCTGATATTATACTAGGCCTAGTGCGCAGTGTATATATAATTAAAATCCTAAACTATCTTTATTGTAGTATAATTGATACTAGTGATAAATACTAGGTCAGTACCGAAGTATCTATTCGCGGGGGTATATATCTAGGCGACCTATTCGAGTATCGCTTCTAAATCGGTAGCGTTACCCTATATCCCCTCGGTAGGACAGTCGCAATTTACTTTTCGCTGTATATACTACTAGTATTTCTTAGTACCTTCTTCGTTTAAGTAACACTCGATCTCAAAGACCGCTATCGCTGCAGTTAAATCGAAGTCACTTATTGAAGTGCGTAGGCACTTTATACACTAAGTGTATTTTAACTAGATACAGTTAGCACGAATAATAGGCGCTATAATAAGAATAATAAAGATAAAGTTAAGAGTCTATTCCGTATAAGAAATAGGGTGGCTAAATAGCCTCTACGGAACAAAGAAGTTTACCTATAGATTTTCTTTAAAGAGCGGCCTTATCCTAATTATATCTCTTTGCGGGAACCCGCCACTGTTCCAACGGTGAAATATCTTTGACTGCAGAGATTCGCGGATAGGGATATCCGCCCTGAGAGGAGGAGATAATTGTAACGGATAAAGATCCTTATAACCTGGAGACTGACAATACGGGAGTCAGCTAATATAGGACCAATATATAATCAGCCAAGTATCGTGACCTAATCGTGAGGGGTTCGTTATATAACGGCCACGTCAGTCGATCAGATAGTTTACCCTATAGTCTGGGATCCCCCTGGATCCCACTTACTCCTATAAGAATTAGTCTTGAGACAGTTCCACACAATACATTGTATTTGTCTCCTCTCACAGAGTCCTTGTATCTTACCCGGTTGACAGGCCCTACACCTGAGACCAGTATACCATTACAGGTTTGATCTTATTTAAAAAACAATCCTCTAATTTAGAATCGACCCCGATGATATTTATAACTTTGATAAGACTAGTTTCGCGATAGGATTAATTTCTACGGTAAAGGTAATAATAAGGAGTGAATTCTACAGCCGGCGTTCACTTTTATAACCTAGAAATCGTAAATAGGTGACTATCATTAAGTGTATAAATTTGTCTAGCTAGGCGCTTCCTCTGTATATAATTTTTAAAGGTAAAGTCTTTATTGAATTATAGTTTAAAGGTCTACTAAACGACTAGCGAATCGAAGTTAGTCCTAATAGTTAGACTTTAGATAAAATAGGAGTTCGCTGGCTTAAAAAGCTCTTTATTCCTAGTACTTATCTTCGTACGAAGGGAAGGTATAGGCTGCTAGTTCTTAACGGATATAGGAGTTATTTAACCCTAAAATTCGATAAACTTTACGAGTAAAATAGGATAATACCTATTTATATACCTCCGCACTCCTCTTATCTTTTATAGCCTCTCGATATTAGCTGTTTTACTGTATTAAAACGATTATATAGGCGGCTAGTAGAGACAAAAATAAGGCTCTAAGTGAATTATATTGATAAACTTAACTTCCTCGAAGTATACCCCCTCGTACGAATTGAAGCTTTTAAACCAGAGACTATTAAGAATAGCTTTAAAGCAGCTAGTTTAGTACCTTTTATACCTAATTAAGTGATATTAAAGCTCAATATTCGACTTCGAACCCTAACCCCCCCCTCTAAGTAGGGGGAGCGATTTAAGCCGGAATTTTACACTAAAAATACCTACTACAGAGAAAGAACTACGTCGATAGGCTTCGTTAATCAAAGCTTTACTTTGTACGAGGTCTCGAAGCCCGCCTAGCCTATCAGATCGTGTATTAAACCAGCTTATAAAAGGCTTCTGTCTTACAATACAAGGTGCTATTTTATTAGCAAAGGAAAACAAGGAATTACGCGCTGAAAACGAGAAGCAGAAGCAAAAGCGGACTAGATCTCGAAGGTATATACCCTCTGAAGAAGGTCTCTCAGTCGAAGAAGCCTCTGTATTAATTATACAGTAACAGGAAGCAAGTGAAGTACTCCCCCCCCGGCCCTAGTACCTCTATAGAATCGGGTATTCGGCCACGTACTCGGCCCCCCCGCGGGTGTGGAATATACAGATTGCCAGGGTATCGAAGGGAAATATATCCAAATAGACCAATTAATTAGTTGAATTAATTTAATGGTGTTTCGGTTGAGATAAATATATTTAAATTTAATAGGTTGGGTGGGGTGCGCAGCTCGCCCGGGAAATACGTTAACTAACTAACTAGTTACAGATTTTTTGGGGTGCAGGGATCAAAACCCGATACCCACCTACTTATTAAGTACTTACTAATATTCACGGCTACCTAACTAAGCACCTACCTACCTACCTACCTACCTACCTACCTACCTACCTACCTACCTACCTACCTACCTACCTACCTACCTACCTACCTACCTAACTATGTACCTACTGTTGTAGGTAGGTACCTAGGTGAACTATCCGCAACATAGGTATATATATATGTACCTACCTAGGTACGGCCTGGTCAGCCCCAATGTTGTAGGTAAGGCCTATATAGGCCTAGTACCTCGTACTTAAGGCACTTCAGATACAACATAGATAGTGTATTTTTTTTTTTTTTTCTTGCAATTGTTTCATTTATGTTTTTGTTTATGCCTTTGTCCCCTAGAAAGCATCTGGGAAAGCATAAAGTGATTAACATCCTCATCTCCCCAATAGGTGAGATGACTGGCAATGCTGGCTATTAATGAAATATCGAAAGTTCCCCTACATTCCTGTCAACAAGGTTCAATAATGCAGAGCATACGGAGTAGTGTCTTACTCTTGGATACTGTAGTCCACACGTCCGTTTGCATTTAAGGCACGCACTTTCGCGTCTTCGAATTTCAACCTCCGGTCCTGGTTAGTGTCGGCATCGGGATATGGACTCTCGCCATGATGGACACTCCTGTTTTTTTGAAACCCATCGTAAAGAGTTTCTAGATCGGAGTCGATCAATGTCTGATAGTGATCATCAGATCCCTCGGGGCCAGGCTGAACTAAGCCTGACTGTGACCGTATATGGGTTGATTCATCACCTATTTTACTAGAAGTGCGAGCCGCCGATGAGGCGTCATCACTTTTCAGACCCAAGCTGCGATTCAACAGACTGCTTGCAACACCCGTGGTGAAATTTGTCCACAGAGATCCCACGCTTTGGCCCATGCGGCTACCGAGAATAGATAGACTCTGACCAGAGGTCGTCCAGAGGCTTTTCTTCACCGATGGTAGAGGCTGAGGTTTGAGGGTTGCCATCGCCGGAGATATCAGAGGCTCAACCCGGTAGCTCACCGGGTCAGAAGGATGGAAGATGTTGTAGAGATCTCGACATTTTGGTGTTGAGATGATACTGGGATTGTCGATGAGCACGTGTCCAGGACCATGCGAAGCCAAGTCAACCGCCACATCCAGAGCATTTTTGCGATATCGGGGATCCAAGGCAGAATATCCACCAATCGTCTTACCCTTGAGCATTTGAAAGAGTGCAATGGGGGATCCTAGACAAAAAAACTCTTCGCAATCAAAATCAAATGCACTTGCACCTTTGGGAGTAGAGTCGTCGCTCTCTTGGGCCGTTCCCTTGGAGGCACCATCCTGTCTGGCATTGGTTCCCGGCTGGTGACATAAGATATCAAATAGAATCGCGCTTCCAAGCGAATGCCCGCAGAGACTGACTGATCCCTTGAAAGAAGGATTTTGCTTCCGGTAAAGCCGGAGGATCCGATTGCATTCTTGGATGACAATATTAGAGATATGCTCACAGTACCCGCTTTGGTACAGAAGGACATCCATAGCCAAATCTGAAATGAGGTTCCGAACAGCTGGTACACTTTCCAGTGTTATATCGGATAGGCTGGGGTACGCATCATCCTCGAGAGCGTCTGCATCAGTGAGATCCAGTTCTTTCCTGTTCTGTCGAACTCCTCGGTAAGGAAAGTCTAGAAGATGGCGCCAGCACCTGGTAGAATTAGTAAAAAAGCAATGTCGAGGAAAGGAGCCAGTCTCAGTCTTACACAGGAAGCACTTGAACACGGCAATTCTTATCGCTGCCCGGGAGCGCTGAGTTCAGCGCTTGGAGGTCAGGCGAACCTTTGTAGACAGTTTTCAGTGTCTTGCGAAGCACATTTACATCATGTATGAAATTGATGCTTTCCAGTCGTAAACCTAGTCGCTGGCCAATTCCATGGGTGACAAGAACTAGATGATCAACCTCGCGCTCTCTGTCCGCGCCGTCCAGTTCTCTCGACTCTTCCATCTCCTGTTCCTCCTGCCTGCGAGCCTGTTCTTCGAGGTCATCTGGATTTTGCGGCTCGCCTGCAAGGGAGGACATTTGGCGTTCTAATGTTGATTTTGGTGTACTTTCGTAACCCTCGAATCCATCAGCTGTGGTTGGCTTGAGAGTATCCGTAGCTTGTTCTGCTTTTTCTTTCAAGACATCATTCAAACCTTTGCCAGACTCGCTCAGTGGTTTTTGTTTGGGTTCCTTTGCCTCTAGTGTCTCTTTTGGCTTCCTGGGCTCGAAACTGCGTACCAATTTCGTTCCTGGAACCCCTCCAAGCTTTTGATACACCGAAGTACTGAAGCGTGACATAAAATCATCATTCATCAACCAGGCCGTCGTGGAATCTTGATAGCCGACTATTCTATTCATGTAAGCGCCAAAAAGACGATACTGCTGAGATTCCACTGTAGGGCCGTTGAAATCATTCCCTGTAGCACGGGGAGGAGAATTCGGGTTGGATGATTGAGGGGGTTTGGAATCTAGTTCATAGGCGTTGATTGGCATGCTTTTGGTCTGGCCAGATTTATCTTGTTCGTTTGTTTTCGAATTCTGTTCTAATGGCTGGGACCTCCATGGACATAGTTTGATATAGCCCTCTTCAAGTTGGGTAGCAAGATTTTCTTCACATGGTTTTAGGGTCGATCCATCCTGAACGAACCATGTTCCACGACGGACTTCATATATAGGGCCAATCCAATAGGTGGGACTCAACTCTCGTTGTTCCACATCGACATTGAAAAGAAAATCCTCATTCACGGGTACTTTGGACAATACTGGTTCGCTGTCATTTGGCTGGTTTTGTTGACGGGCATCTTCGATATCTGAGAGTTTCTGAAACGTCGTTTCGATGGACTGGGAGTCTTTCCCTGGGAAAGGTATAAATTTCTTCGGTGATGGTAAGGGTTTTTGGTCTGCCTTTTTCTGTCCTAGAATGGATGGTTTTCGCTTGGGCGAGTCCACTGCATAGAACCACCTGACTTTCAATGGAGGGCAATCGGGAGGATAACGTCGCATGCTTAATCGATGCATGTGGGTCACCGTATGGTCCTCCCCTTGCGATCGCTGCAAGACATCGGGGTTAGGGTGACCGCCAGACTGTGGTGTTGGTGTTGGTGTTGGTGTTGTGCTTCTTGGTGTACTCCAGGGAGTTAATGTCCCTAAGAACGACTTTTGTTCTGCACCTGCCATGGGGAGGAGCGCCCGTCGGAAGGCAGCGTTATGAACCAACAACCAATGTGAGCAGCTAGTATATTGATGAACGGTCGAAGTGGAGGTGGTGTAAAAAATGAACATAAAGAGAAACTAGAAATCAAGCGATATCCGAAAGCGTCAAAAAAACAGATAAAATATTGGAGTTGCAAATGAACGTTGGAGATCGGAAATGATGTAATCGTGGACTTACTCCAGGGCTCCGTAGGTTAACTAGTTACCTACATAGTCCATAAGTTTCGACACCCTCATTGGCGACCGCCTTCCTATATAGCATATTGTCTACTTAGATAGTCATACCGCTCAGAATATAGGATTTTGGTTGGTGGAATTAGGGCAGGCAGAATAAGGGGTGCTGAAACTTATGGACCGTCACTGTAGGTAACTACATATGCAATTACGTTGTCTTTACATATATATGGTACTTAGTAATCCGTACATATGGATCCATTATATATAACTATCCATGTATATGTGTATGTCTGTATGTACATTAAATGTACATTATGTATATGCAGTGTCGACGTCATTCGAAGAACTTCCCGAATACGAGAACATTGCGTTACTGACATGATACTTACACACTCATACAACAATACACCTAGCGTGATGTACTCCGTATTATTTGGTATTTGCTATGTATGTACTTTCAATACGGTGTGGCTCAATTCTCTCCCCCTCGGTTCGTGTATACCTGGCTGCCTTTCGCCCTGCACTGCCCACCTTTTAACACGGATCGGATTTCCTCTGGTCTTTTTTTTTAGTACTTTCTTTACCCCTTGACAATTGATCTGTTCAGGCTGTAAACACTACTTCCTCCCTTTTTTTTGTCGAAACCCGGTTTCTCCCTGGGTGATCACCCCACCTATTTTGCCAGGGTTGTGATTCTGACAAGATGAACGTCCTCAAGCTCCAAAAGTACATTTCCTCGTCATTCAACGCATGCATATGCTGACCGTTATGATTAATATAGGCGTTTCCCGCAGCTTGATCAAGGCGAGATCTTTTCGCTCCAGGATGCATTCAACAGATTGGATGTCGAAGACCGTGGCTACCTTGATGAATCTACCGCGATCAAAGCTGTTCAGCAATCAGAACGCCAGCCGTATGATGTGGTGCGTGCAGCTTTGAAAAATGTGGAACTCGATAGCTCCCGGCGCGTGGAACTCGAAGATTATGTTGATGTAATACAACTTCCCCGCTTCCCTTTCTCATCTCGTTGATATTAACGCTACGGCAGCTCGTTTCGAAGCTTCGGACGGCACCTACTGAAGGTGCACGTGCAGCAACTACTCCCGCGGCCGTGATTCAAGGGGCCGGTGCTGGCACTGGAGCATCTCGGCATGTCTCCAAGGGCAGTGTGGGTGGACGAATCCATGTTCAGGGATCATCTTCCAATGTCACGCATACGATCAACGAAGACGAACGAACTGAGTTTACGCGACACATCAATGCTGTCCTGGCGGGCGATGCGGATGTTGGCAATCTCCTCCCTTTCCCCACTGATACATTCGAGATGTTTGATAAGTGCAAGGATGGCTTGGTCCTGGCAAAGTTGATCAACGACAGCGTACCAGACACCATTGATGAGCGTGTTCTGAATAAGGCCGGGAAGAAGATAAAGCAGCTGAATGCTTTCCACATGACCGAGAACAATAACATTGTTATCAATTCTGCCAAGGGTATCGGATGTTCAGTTGTTAACATTGGAAGCGGGGATATCATTGAAGTGCGTGAGCATCTCATCCTCGGTCTCATCTGGCAAATCATCCGCCGTGGTCTTCTTGGGAAGATTGATATCAAACTCCACCCGGAGCTTTATAGGCTTTTGGATGAGGATGAAACTCTGGAGCAGTTCTTGCGTTTGCCTCCAGAGCAGATTCTGCTTCGCTGGTTCAACTATCATCTCAAGAACGCTAAGTGGGACAGACGGTATGTCCAGACGAGGGAGGAACAAAGAAAGTCACGTGGCTAACCGATGTAGAGTAACGAATTTCTCTACCGATGTCAAGGATGGCGAGAACTACACCGTTCTTCTTAACCAATTAGCACCCGATATTTGCTCGCGTGCCCCTCTCCAAACCCGAGACTTGCTTGAGCGGGCTGAGCAGGTCCTTCAGAACGCCGATTCGCTTGATTGCCGCAAGTTCCTAACCCCTACGTCATTGGTTGCTGGAAACCCCAAGCTGAACCTCGCCTTTGTCGCCAACCTGTTCAACACCCACCCAGGACTGGACCCGATCACCGAGGAGGAGAAGCTCGAAGTTGAAGACTTTGACGCTGAGGGTGAGCGAGAGGCCAGAGTCTTCACTCTTTGGTTAAATTCGTTGGATGTGCAGCCGGCAGTCAACTCACTCTTCGACGACCTACGCGATGGCTCTATTTTGCTGCAGGCATACGACAAGGTAATTCCTGGAAGCGTGAACTGGAGGCATGTCAACAAGCCACCAGCCTCTGGCGGTGAATTGATGCGGTTCAAGGCCGTTGAAAATACCAATTACTCAATCGAGCTTGGGAAACATAATGGGTTCTCCCTTGTCGGCGTTCAGGGCGCTGATATCACCGATGGCCAACGAACCCTCACTCTCGGATTGGTATGGCAGCTAATGCGCCGTGATATCACCAACACACTCTCTGCGCTAGCCCAACGGCTGGGCAAACGCGAAATTACCGATACTGAGATGATCCGCTGGGCCAACGACATGTCTAGCAGTGGCGGCAAGGCTTCCACGATACGCAGCTTCAAAGACAAGTCTATTGGATCCGGAATCTTCCTCCTTGATGTGCTCAACGGCATGAAGAGCAGCTATGTGGATTACGATTTGGTCACGCCCGGTCGGACCGATGAAGAGGCATATGCAAACGCTAAACTTTCTATCAGTATCGCCCGAAAGATGGGTGCCACCATCTGGTTGGTCCCGGAGGATATCTGTCAAGTTCGGTCTCGTTTGGTCACTACGTTTATTGGTAAGCTAATACTTTCATTAATATGGCAGACATTTCAGTTTCTAACAGATGATAGGCTCCCTTATGGCTACACACGAGAAAATGTAAGGAACACAACTGTTCAATTAGGCCAATCGTCATGGCATTGCATACTTTTTCTTTTTGTATCCCCCAATACATGTAAATCTGCCGCTTCTCAAGGCGAACCCCAAGTGTGGATTTCAATCAAAGATTCATTGTTACAATACTAGATATTTGCCTCTTCTCTGATTGATTAAAGATACTGCTCAAACCATGCAACTGCTTGCAAGAAGGCAGACTCTTTGGCAAGGCGGATTGCCGGCTTGGCGATATCTGCACGGACAGCAAACCCATGCTTAACGCCACTGAAAAAGTTGATCTGGTACGGCTGGCCTGTCTTGGCCAGTATATCCTCGGATTCATGGCGCTTTGAGGCCGGGAAGGTTGAGTCGGTTTCTATCAAGTATTTAGTCAAGACACTGTAGCCAGACAATAACGACTTACCAGCCGCGGCAATAGACAATGGGCCTTGGACTGCTTGTAGTTTCTCTGCTTCGACAAAACTCGGGTTTGCCATATAGGTAACATCGCAAAGGCCTGGCCGGAGCAGTTGGACGGCATATTTTGCCTGTATTTGTCAACTCGGGCAGCAGCAAGACATATAGGGAACATGGACATACCCCGAAGCAATATCCGATAGCACTAACACGCTCACATCCCATGTTGGACTTCATTTCCTTTAGTATCGCCTGGACCACGGGTTCAATATGGTCTGGCAGATGATTGGGAGGGCCCTTTAAGCCATTTCATCAAGTCGAAACTAGCGGCCCGGTTCAACAGCACTGGATCACCGTGGGATAGTTTGGCATGACAACCACGTAGCCATTTTCTGCTAGTTGGTCCGCAATAAGCTGCGCATTGGTGAAACGGTGACCAATTACATCGGTGAGCAGCAGTATGGCACATCTGGTAAAACGCTTGGGGCGTGAGATGTAGCTCGACTACGACCATCAGCGAACTATAGCGTATCCCTAGAGGGTTGGAAGTGTATACCTTCGTCGATTTGTTGGGATTGACCCTTTATGTTGAACACCAGTGACGCATCCGGCAGCGGGTAGATTATATGCCATTTAGATCCGTTTGGGGAATGAAGCGAGAGGGTAGTATAGGAATGGCCTAGGGAAGAAGGATACATAGGAGATATATAAATACATATATAAAAGAGGGGTGCATGTGTAGTAATGACGGGCCCGTTCCTAACCAATCCGGCAAAATAGAAAGGATACGAGAGTATAACAATAAAATGAAATAATATACACAAGTAATACACGCACGCACGCACGCACATATATATATTTATCTAATATCAACCTTGGAAATAACATACAGGTATATATGTAATAGATTTCTAACTGTTTACACGTATTTATCATTGTCATGGAAAATACGCTCTTGTCCAAGTCATAGCCATAGCATATTAAGTATAAGATATCAAAGCAGTGACTATCCATGGATATGTATCTAGCTACTGTATCAGATCAAATGATTAGGTACAAACTGCATAACAGACTTGGCCCTGTAAATATGCCCAGCCAAAAGACGATATTTCCCAACAAACGGCGACCTCGCATCAGGCGAGTCCGACTTAGCGCAGCAAGCGGCAGTTGAGACATCTGAAGGATTAGTAGATAACCTCGGAGTCGCCGGAAGATGCACAGCATGATCAGCTCATGTACACATGCAGATAAGAGAAAAGTGAGGAGACTGGCAGATACTCGCGACAAACGGTATTCACTGATAGAGCCATGGTATACATGCCGAAATAAGAAGTTATGGACTGGGCGGTTCCAATCCCGCGCGAACTGATCCCACGAGACCGAGTTCCACCAATCGGAATAGAACCCTCGGTCCGCAAACATGGTGATCTCAGCTAGAGCATTGAGCTATATAAACTTAGCAATAAATCAAGGTAGCAGACAGCTGGAGAGACCTACAACACACTCCCATATCACGTAGAATGCGAGTAGATACTCCATCATGAATGGAAAAAGCAAGTCACCGAGAACCCAGGGAAATTCCCGAAGTCTCTCCTGAGCGGTCATTCCCTCCGCTTTCATATGCACCGTGTCCATCACTACCGGGTATATCCATGATTGGGAGACTGCGATCATAACCACAATGATGCCGAATGTGGCCAGTGTTTTCTCTGCGACATAGAGCCAGTCAATTTTCTTGGTTCGCGGGTATTCAAGCTCATAGACCAATGTGGGCAATGCCATAAAGTCACAGATATTTCTTATTGTCAAGTTTTGAGGATAGTGATTGTTGGTCAGTGAACAACGGCCCTGTAATCCCTCAGATAAGACCTCGATCTCCTGCTCAAGTAGCTCTCTGAGGGACTTCACCTGGTTCGGCTCAAGCGGCACGCCGGTCTCAATCGTTCCAATAAGTGATAAAAGCTGGTCGGTTTCATGGGATCGAGAATAGTTCCTGAGGTCAGAAGAGCGCCGACTAGAGTCTTTTCTCTTGAGGTCTGTGATCTCAGCATTGAGTTCCGTATCAACCGCGGAAGAGTGCCCTATTTTGGCAGATGTAGAATGTCCTCTGTCTTTGTCTTTGATTTGGCTAAGACTTGCTCTCAGCATATTTCGTTTGCGATACATTTCTGACACTGTCCTCATTAGCTCTTGCTTATGACCGAACAGAGATTGACATACAGTAGCCATTGTAAGCTGCATAGCTGTGTTGCTTCATCAGCATAGCCAAGCAGTGCAATACGATAAAGACCGTGTGTGTCCACGGCCAATCGCGATGATATGTCCACCATATAACGACTCCAAGGTATGTAGTTTGCCAGATCTATATAGGTCAGCAATGCAACAGGATTGGGGGCCAAATTTTGAGACTGACATTTTGAATAAGCCAACCGAGACCGTTCCAACGAATATATCCCTTGAGTACCACTCGTTGTAGTATCAGACAAAACCCCGTAGACCAACAAAGGAGCAAGTCAGTCAGCCCGAGGACCATGACATCTTTATCCAACATGAGATGAATAATCTCGTTTTTGCCCCATATGCTGCCATAGGTTCTCCAATTGTTGGCAGCAAGCCTGAATAACATCAGGGTCACCCCCATCCAGAAGAGAACAAAAAAGCCATGGAACTGGGGGGCTGTAGTGCCCAAATCTTGAAAGGTACTCAGCTGTCGGGTGAATTCCAGGTCCTGAAACCTGAATTTCCGTTTCTCACCCGACTCATGTGAGAGATTGTGTTTGAGAATCTCTTGTAAAAGCTCGGCATCCTCCGCGCTGAGCAAGTATTGACCAGCTTGCTCAGTCTCGAGCTTCACGACAGAATCGCTCGATTCTAGTTCTTCCGAGTTCATAATTATGCATCACGTAAATTGTTCAAATCTCAAGTTTTAGAGCTCTACAGTCTCGGGTTTTTTTTCCTTCTTCCCCCTTGGGGCGGTAAATGCGGTAAATGACGTTGTGGACGTTCTGTGGAGCTACGGTTCGTTCCTAGACTGGAGTATCCAGGGATAGAAAGATTATAAATACTTTGTTTAAAAACAAAAAGAAACAAAGTACAGCGATCAAGTAAAAAGAAAAGTAGAAGAAGTACAGTTATACCTATAATAATATAACTACATATGTATGTAGCTATAAGCTCCTGTGTGACCTGAAATTGTACTTTTCTCCGCCTTAGCTCTCCTGCCTCTGGAGGTCTGGTTTGCTTCTCTCTTCCTCTTTTCTTACTACCTTCCTTCACCATCAATTGACTTTTATTCCATTGAGAAATGGATACACTACAAACCCCCCAAGTTCGAGTCCCTGGCGAAACCCCTGAATCAACTCAACCAGAACTCAATGCGACTGCGACTGCGAACCAAAACTCCACCGAGGTAGAGATGGGAGGAACACAAGACACAAGACAACCTGAACTCGAGCCTGCGCAAGAATATCCGACTCTTCCAGATGTGCAGGGAGAGCTAGAGCCACCCGTCCCGGCAAAGAAGACCGGCTTCAACTTCCTTGAGTGAGCATTCTTTCCCCAAGCCTTTGCGACATAATTTCTTTTTCAAAAATGGCACCACCTTCAATTATCCCAACTACTACTCGCAAGCTCACAACTACTTGTAGCTTCCTGACTTCCCCTATCGTTGAGATTATCGTTGGGAAAGACGATAATGAGACCGTTATGACAGCTCATCAATCCCTCCTGGTGGAGGCGCCACTACTAGCCGAGTCTGTTAAAAAATTTGAAGCACTGGGCCCGGTGAGTTCATTCATTTATATTTGATGCACGTATATATACATTCATACTCATTATGATTGATAGCGACGCATCAGCCTGCCAGAAGAGGACGTCGATGCCTTCGGTTGCTTCCTCCAGTTCCAGTATACGCGCGATTACACTGTCACTCAAACCGAAACACCCGGGGAAACAGATGAAGATAAAAGCGGCGACGAGTTGCTGCGTCATGCGCGTATATACACGCTGGCAGAGAAGCTGGGCCTGCCAACACTCCAGCGCATTGCCCATAGCAAGATCCATAAGGTCAAGAGCTCACCTCATGCGGAGCTTTCATATGCCCGTTACGTATACTCTCATACACCAGCAGCAGACACCACCATCCGGAAGCCTGTGGCGACTTACTGGGCGAACCAAAGTCACGTGCTGCGTCAGGAGGTTGGGGACGACTTTAAGGATCTGTGCATTGAAGTGCCAGAGTTTTCCTTTGATGTTTTGACTATCATTCTGGATCGCAAGTTGAAGAATGGACCGGCAGATGAGATCAAGGGAAGTGCACGCAAGCGCAGAAGAGACATTTAGTTATTGCCAGTTGTACAATCACATATCCGAGGATCAACAATGTATTCTTATCCTAATTTGATATGAAGGTTCTTGAACGGTCCAGGAAAAATCTTGTTGGCGGCAAATGACTGATTTTTATAAAGCCAGGCTCTCCACCTCCTCAATGAATTTCGGGGCTGTGGTCAGATTCTCAGAACCATCTTTGGTGATGTGGATGTTGTCTTCGATGCGCACTCCTCCCACACTCCAATACCGCTCCAAGACCTCGGTGTCGATATACTTACTGGTCTCGGGGGCCTTTAAGACGGGGTCGATGATGAAACGACAGAAATAGATCTGGTACATGATAAGAATTGGGCGTTGAGAAAGAGGATCCCCAAGGAGCAGTACTTACACCAGGCTCAACAGTGACCACAGAGCCAGCAGGCAGGTTAGCGCGAACACGCAGGTAGCGGAACATGGTATCCTTGTCCTCATAGTTGGCGTTACCACCGGTATCATGGGTGTCCATTCCCAGGTAGTGACCGAGGCCATGGGGGAAGAAGGCCACGCTGACACGCTTTTCAAATAAATCGTCCTCGGATCCGCGCAGGATACCCAGCTTCAACAAGCCACGGATAGCAATGCGATGTGCCAGCGCGTGCACGTCGTCCCAGCACACGCCTTCCTTGAGCATCGCAATACACTCTGTCTGCATCTGGAGGACAATCTCATAAATCTGGCGGGTCTCAGGCGCAAACCTTCCATTCAGAGGAATCACACGCGTAATATCGGCGCAGTAAGTCTGGTATTCGCCACCAGCATCGATGAGAACATTATTCTTCCGCTGCTTGGTGACGGGATCGACCAGGTCGACATCGTTTCTAACATAATGAAGAGTAGCACCCCCCTCACCTCCAGCAACGATGGGATGGTAGGACTGCTCGCGACATCCATTGGCAATACAAGCGCCAATAATGGCAGCCTCAATCTCGCGCTCGTTAGTCGCGGTCTTGGAGGCCTGTATAGCAGCGATGTGCGCTTTGGTCGAGATATCGTTTGCCTTTCGCAAAAGTGCAATCTCGTACGCATCCTTGATGACACGAGTATCCTCGATAGCAATCTTCAGGCTGGCAGTGTTTGTTTCAGCGAAGCCCTGGAAGCTTGTGCCCTCTGACACCTGTTCCGCCATTGCAAAAGCAGCAGTTTGTCCATTATGGTTCGACGCGATCGACGCCAAGGTCGAATTGACATCGGTTGTGAACCGAACGTAGTCCACATCGTAGAGCTTTGCAGCCTCCTCGGGAGACAGGGGCAGTCCAGACCAAATGACTGACTCTGGGTCGATCGGTGGAATGAACAGAATCAATTCATCTTTGATGGTATCGTATACCACGGCGGCATTGGGCAAAAGACATCCAGTGAGATAGAAGAAAGGACGACGTTGCCTAAGATTGAGGTTAGTATCAATTCAGATCCTATTGACATGCTACATTACCTAAATGGCATATCCTCGTCGCTATCTTCAATCAATCGAGTTTTTTGCGCCTCAAGGTAGATAACTCCGGCCCCGCCATGCCGAGCCTTAATAGACTCAGCGACACGACGAGCATGGGCCTTAGCCGGATACTTGGCAGCGAGAATGGTATCCACAGTAGTCATGTTGAGTGAATAATACACCGTAGAACAAGTTGGAGGAGGAGAAAAGGGAGAGAGAAAGAGAGAGAATTGTTATTTAGGTAATAGTATGTACTACTAGCCTTAGAGACGAGGTTGCATTGCGGGGCTTTGAAATTATGGCGGTTACTGCCGTCAAAAAGGATAAAGAGAACACTGCAAGGAGTGCACATTCATACAAAGTACTCCGTACATCATCATACATCATATTAATTGGATTATAAATTCTTCAAATGTTTCATCTTCTCCAAGGCTAGCTTTCTGAAGCAGACACATCTTCAAATTCCATCTTCCATTGGTCCACTTCCGCAAACTTTTTGACTGCCGCGCGCAACTCATCGCTCACGCAACGAGTGGCCACTGTTTTCATAGACTCGGAATCGGAGACGTCAGACTCAGGTGGTGATGATAATGGAGAAGAGGATGGTGATGACAGAAGCGTTTCGTTTTCTTTGTCGGCGCCACCCGCTTGAGAACGTGAATACGTAGCTGGCTCTTTTGGAGCTGACGATTTGTCCTTAGCTTTGTTCTCTTTAATCTTCTTCTGTTTCGGATTGCGGGCGTTAGCTAATGGCTTGGGCTTGCTTTTCCCTGCCCGTCTCCCGGATGATCTTTGTGACGGGTAGTTCAGCTCATCCTCGTCACCAGATGCGGCGTCATACTGATCATCACTTTCATCGCTGTAATCATTGATAGCGCGAAGTCTGCGCCGGCGACGTGGTAAAAGTGTATCTTGCAGGTTTGCTGTCGATAGGTGATTCGAGGTTTTGGGGTTTTTTCTCTGAACAGGTCGTGGTGTGGAGTCACCAGGTGTAGCAGACCCAGCAGGACTGCTGACCGGTGGTAACATAGTTTGGCTTAGTATTTCTGGGAATCGTTGGGATTGAGGCGTGGCTTCAACTCTTTCAACCTCAACCTCCTGATCTCCAATTTCCTCGTTTTCGGGTTCAACCTCATCTTTAGGAAGCTCGTCCCCAATGTAACGCCCAGAGTCGTCGCGTTGAATCGGTGTCGCAGTTGGAGTATCTTCTACCATATCCAGGGGCGACTGTGGTACTTGAATCTCTTGGGTCATGCGCTTGCGCTTGCGCGACCCGCCGGACGAGAGCGGTGATTCGGACGGTAACGGAGATGATGACTTCTCGGTAGGCTTGATAAGTAGAGACTTTCCCCGAGAGAGATTCAATGGTGTCGATTCATCATTGGGGCTAAGCCCACCAAGAAAGTCATCGTCATCAATATCGGAAGAGCCGTCGTCGTCAGCTTGCATCATCTGCAGAATGCTTTGTTGTCGCGGCCGCCGTCTAAAATTGCTCAGAATTGAATTATCGAATCCAGGTGTTCCAGGAACCCGGGAGCTCGTGTCGCCTTTGCGTCCGGCAAATGATAGCGTAGAGGAATAACCGCGCGATCTTGTAGGAGGACGACTACCAGTTCCAGGTCGACTGCCGGTACCCGACCGGTCTCCCATGGGCGAAGATTGAATTGCTTGTTCATGACTTTTGGTCAAAGGTGTTTGACTGCGTAGCGCTTGTCTCGTATCTAGGGCTGAGCTGCGCTCAGGCTGCGCAGGCGATTTGGCGACGGGATCAATTTGGTGTGTTGACTCTTCTATCGCGGTATTTTGGGGCTGATTCTTTCCCAGTGTACGACTTCGTTTGGGGGCAGGACGAGGCATGATGGAACAAATTGATATGAACCAATAGAGTATGCTATGGAGCCAAAAGGGTGCGCAGCTACAAATGCGAAAGAAGACTCGACGCGTTTGTTTGGGACGCGTGCACGTGGACGACATGTGACATCCTCGATATCTATAATCTACAACTGACATCGTATACTCCCATATCTCCATGGATATTTCGTGCCTATACCAATATATATATCTACTAATTGGATTGTGCTATTATTGTCTCGAACTTTCCCATCCGATGTCACAGTCGCCAGGGTATGCTCAACGCGCCACGGACTCACCCCCGTATCGAGTTAGGCGGCCAACTATTATACAAGCACAAGCACACATGAAAGACTCGAACAGATTTCTATTAGAAGCCGGTCTTGAATTATACATTAATTTCCGTGCCCCAAATTCTCCGGACCATTTCTTCAATATTTCTCTCTTTGTCTCTCTACTCATCTCCAAGTATGGTCTGATGCCCGCCATGCCGACCACCCCCTCGGTTTGGAGTGGAATGCAACGTTAGATACAACTGAACACACTCGGCTTTTGAACAATGACTCCGCCCCCAGAAAAAGAGACGATAGACCCCATGGGGGACTATGCAGTTAGCGACACATCTGTAGGCAAGAAAAAGCGCTCGAATACAGAGGCTGCCGAATATCCCAGAAGACGGGCAACAATAGCTGTAAGCGCATGTGGCACATTCGACCAAGGTAGATTTGACTTTGATTCAGTGTCAGATATGCCGACTACGCAAGACCCGATGCAATGGAGCTCGTCCCAAGTGTCAACTCTGCTCCGATTTGAATGCGGAATGTGTCTATCGAGAACCCGGTATCAAACTCGACGCTGGCGACAAGCTCATTCTAGATCATTTGGCCAGAATTGAGAGTTTGCTGCACTCGAATTTACCAAACCAAGGGCCAAATTTAGCCCTGTCCGCTACTTCACCGGCCACCAGCAACGATACAAACCTCGGTAGCGACGATCCATTAACAAAAACGTCATCCAGCGGATTGCCAGTCCATGGAAGATTGTCTGCTGTTGGACTCGGTTCCTGGGTGAACCCTCCCGCCAGTCTAAGCATATCTACAATGCCCAAGATGCATACCACTCCTGCCCTTCATCTTCTCCAGTGGCCCCTAATTCGGGACTTGGTCTCTGGGGCCTACGATCCACAGCACCTTCTTCAATTAGAGATGGCCCGAGAGCCATTGCGACTGACTCCAAATTCAGGCTTTGATTTGACAAATGCATCCACGTATGCCCAGTCATTTTTCAGCTATGGAAACGTTTGGTACGCATGCGTGAACCCTTACACCTGGAATCGTTATTATCAATCGGCTCTCGCGCAAGGATTTGAGGAAGGTCCCATGAGCTGTCTTGTTCTTCTGGTCTTGGCCTTAGGAAGCGCCAGCCATAGTGGTAGTATCTCATTTGTGTCACCGGATCGTGAACCGCCGGGACTTCCTTATTTTGCTGCTGCGTGGAGCTTCCTACCGTCAGTCATGATGCGAAATACTGTAGTTGCGACGCAGTGTATGGTTATGGCCTCTGCCTACCTATTCTATCTAGTCCGGCCGCTGGAAGCCTGGACCTTGCTATCCAGCGTGAGCATGAAATTGCAGTTGTTGTTTGGCAGTCCAAATCGAATCCCCACTCAGTGGAGAGAGCTGAGTGTGAGGGTATACTGGAACACCTTGTTGTTTGAAAGTGATCTTCTCGCAGAATTAGATCTCCCCCATTCTGGCATTGTCAACTTTGAAGAACTCGTGGATCTGCCAGGAGGCTTTGAGGAAGAAGATGAGGATGACGGAGAGGAGGAAGAGGGGGATCATAATGAGGGCGAAGAACGTCGAACAGCCAGGAAATATCAGGGCTCATCACGCCCGGACTCTCAGCTGGCTGTTCGACGTGACGAACTCTGGTACTTTTTGGCAGAGATTGCGCTACGAAGACTCCTCAATCGCGTCAGCCACATCATTTATCAGAAAGACAGCGCCCATACTCTCGCATCATTGGGTCCCATTGTCTCCGAGCTGGACTTTCAGCTGTCTCAGTGGTACGACAGTCTTCCCCGGCCTGTTCAATTCCCTTTGACCCCAAAGCCTCTTTCAAACCCGGTTCAAACGGTGCTAAGGCTTCGCTACAATGCATGCCGTACTATTATATATCGTCCATATATCTTAGCTGTTTTTGAGAATGAACAGGCTGGAGCGGACCCGGGGGTGCAAGAGTGTTGCCGGCGATGTTTGGATGCTACACTCCGTCAGCTGGAGCATGTAACCAGCCACCGTGAAGGTCACCTTCCATACCTATGGCAGGGCGCTCTGTCAATGGTATCCCAGACGCTGCTGATAATGGGCGCTACAATGTCTCCTACCCTCTCTGTTCTGCTCCCCCCCGTTTCACAGATGGATGCGATCATTGCGGGAGTGGTAAATGAGGTAGAGAGGTATGCACACCTAGCGCCTAGCCTGAAACTGTCAGCCGAGATTATCCGAGATGCAGAGAGACGACGGCAGATTTGTCTTCGATCGGCCACCATGTGCCTCTAAACTGCGCACTCCTGAAGACGGAATTTGTGTTAGGCCTCTCAACTCATCGTTGAATGGCTGAATGATTTTACCACTCAAGGTTGATGAAGGATATTTGCATATAGGAACGTGAACACAGTATGCTTGCTTGGAAGTACCAAAAGAATTGGATTGAATGTGTGTGTGATATGCATTAGAGTGTATCGTTAGGCCTCGCGCTGAGGCAAGATCACTAAAATAAACAGTTTATATGAGCAAGAATAAAACAGCGTTAAATACAACCCCATCTCATGACAATTATGTTCTTGAATCATCAAATATCTCACGGGTTAAAATCATGGTATCTCAAAAGACGTAGAGAGATCAAATATGGACATCAGAAATATCAAAAGAGGCAGGAGAACTCCAAGCCTCCACTGGCTTCGAGGGAAGAGCTAATTACCATATGGCTTCAAATACTTCCTAGACCAACACCCACTCGCTACCTCTCTTGATGAACTTGTCGAGCATCAAGCTCACATCACCCAGTGCAAACCGACAAATGTAAAAGCCGAAGAATTCAGCAGCATGTCGTGTGCTGAGTTCCAAACCAACATGAGTTTTAGATGAATGTTTGAGTCCAGGGTCCTCAACCTGCTGAGCAATTTGTTCTGGTAAGGGATTAGAATGGCGTCAAAGCATATAGGCGAGAAAAGTCTTACCTAGCACTTGTGCAGCATCGAAAAGCCGTGCCAACGCCCCCATGTAATTTGCGTTGGGCCCAGAAAATTCAAGCTGGGTAACATTACGCTTCGCAGGTGTTCCGTGTACAGATGTCATCGGCACAGAGTTGAGGACTAGATTCTCTTTGTTGCTTTCTCGAGCACTTGGGACTGGAGTGGTTGTCCCAAGCCCGGAAGTTTTTGCGCGTAGTCTTTTCCATGTCAGGTATGATTTGTTTGGCGCAACTTCCGGTTGAACAGGTTCATCCGGCGTGGAAGCGGGCTTGAACAATGGCATTGATGCTTGAACACCGACTTCACTGCCTAATTTCTTAGTCAAGAGAACCTGCACTTGGTCGAGTACAGTATCAAACGACTGCATCTCCTCCAGAACCGCATCTGCATCATATGTATTGACCTGAGCCAATTTGAGCAGAGCAGCAGTCAGAAGATCGCAGTTGGACACTTTTTCTTCGAGGGCCTTTAGTTTTACATTTTTCACGCGCCAGACATCTCGAGGAATAAAGAGCTTCTCTGACAGATAGCCGCCGTGAGGATGTGCGAGTGTCTGGTAGAGACATCTCATTAGCCAAAATGGGCGGAGAAGGAAAGACTCTGGACATGGCTCTAGAGGAAGCGGGGCATTGGCCACCAACGAATTTGGACGACCAAGAGCTGTGGGCGAGTGAATGTTGCTACCAAACAGGTTTACTCCGCCGCTTGGCAGTCCATTTTGATTGAAATTAAAGTTAGCCAGGGTCGGTGTGGGTAAAATAGGAACTCCGCTAGTCGCGCCCCTTTGAGTGTCAGGGAATGCACCGCTCCACGGGGTGCTTGGGGATTCTGGGCACATATCAGGGATTTGAATTGGAACAGAGGCGTTCCGAGCTCGGAAAGGCTTCGTATTGGAGTGGAGTTTGTTCAATCCATCTGGAGCTGAGGGTACTTTACCCATGGGCCGTCCTGACAGCGGCAGGGGTGGCAGTTCGTTCTCATCATCTTCATGGGTACGAGCTTTGGGAAGATTGACGTGGTCTGTGAAAGAGCTCACCGACAGGTTGCGTTGTGTTGGGTGCAAAGTGGAACGAGCCCCAGGAGCAGAAGATTCGTCTTTCGGCAACGGTGGCGGGCGGTTTGCTAGTGGGGCAAAAATTTCCAAGGCCGATGATGCATTGGAATTGGTACGAGAGGAGCGGGTGTTGGTCTCAATTTTAAGCTCGCGAGTCTGACTGGATAGTCTCCGGGCTCGCACTCCTGGACCTGTAGAAGAGGCAAGCGAGCCGATAGAACCAGCACGGTTTGATATCGAGGCTCGCTTGGAAGGAGCTGGGAAGTCGGATGACGCTGGCAGGGGTGGCAAAGCCGAAGATGGAGGAGAGGAGGGCATGGTATATGGTTCGGGTCTTAGGTCGCCCAATGGCAACACATCATCTTCTGCAAGCGTAGACAGCGCACCTCCAGTGTTTGCGATATGGGACGTCGCGGAGCTTTCCCAGGTCCTCCCGGACATGTTGCTAGAATCTGATTCTCGAGGGAGTGCCGACTTGGACTGAATGCCGAACTCAAAGTCGTCCATCACGTAGCCCTTCGTCATCTCTTCTAGCAAACGCTCCTCTTCCTCTGCTTCATCGTCCAGATACGCCGAAGTACGGGAAACAAGGGGGCCATCCCCAAAAGTTGTCTGTTCCTGAATTTGACGCATTTCACGATCACGATTCATTGCCTCTGCTTCCTGTTCTGCCTCGCGCACTCTTTGCTTCGC